CAAGCTGACTCTCACAATAAACAGAACATTTCCTTTCTTGACACATTTCCTCAGTTATTAATATAACATGCCGAATAGGAAGTGTAATTGTGTTTTATTTTGTACAGCTGAGAAAAACACTAACATTAGGCCTGCCCAGGCTTTTAAAGAAGCAGACAACTTAATTGATGCTTTTCTGTTGTGCCTGGACTGCTGCAATGCTTCTGTACGCGCTGCCGCCAAGCTTCTGCAACTCCACTCAAGCTTTAATGCTGCTGCTGCTTTTTTTTTTTTTTTTCTAAAGGCTGCTGTCCAAATGGGAGTTTTGTGAAGGGAATGAATTCTACTCTGAAGCACAAAAGTAGTGTGTAAATATTTAAGGTCTGTTGGGTCAAGACAAGCATTCCTGGGTCATTATCTGGTTGATTCAGATTGCTGAATGTATGAATCAGCATCACAGCTGAAATATGTAGTGAGACCCAGTCCAGGGGTGATAATTGAAGGTTTCATCTGTCTGTCCGTCCATTTAATCTACAATAAAACGACTCGACCTGTTGTAGATTTTGTTGAGCTGTGTACTCAGTTTGTTCCATATTTTTCAAACAGTGTTGAAACCCAGAGGTACATGTAATTTTATTTTAGGAGATGGTACATTTCATTTTTGTTACCTGTTGTCCAGACAGCAGGGACATGTCTTTGGAATTGCCTCGGGTGGCATTGCCAACCCCTACCCCACCTCCAAAATCAGATTTGCCATCTGATAATCTATGTTTGGCCAACTGCCTGATGGGAGTCGGGATTTATTTTTAAAAACAAATAATGTGGCTCTGCTGCAACCAACAAAGTATTTTTCGCATTTTAAATTGGCACATTTCCCTTGGTAAGTGGACTAAATGGACTTATGGTTGTATAGCGTTTTTACACCACATATTCAGGGCAGCTGTGGCTCAGTTGGTAGAGTCGCCACCTCTCGATCCTCAGCTTCGATCCTCAGCTGAGCAACGTGCCCAATGTGTACTTGGGCAAGACACTAACCCTGCAACCGCTGCTGGGGCAGTGTATGAATGGATTAGTGTTGTACTTACTTCTGATGTATGTCGCCTCGGATAAAAGCATCTGCGAAGTGAATTGGAACAATGTGACATATCACACCTATTAACACACTGATGGCAGAGTTGGCAGTTATGTTAAGTGACCATCAAAAGTAACTAATCCCATTCATACACATGCACATGTCACAAGACAAAGCAGTGGGAGCAACTTGGGCTTAAGTGTCTTGACCAAGAACACTGGGGATCGAACACCTGATCAGCCAGCTGACCGATTTTTGGGGAGAACACCTTGTAAGTAAGCAGTTCAGTAGAAATGATAAGAATATACAAAAATGTTTATTAAATGCTTATCAGACATTCATAAGTCTGGACATGTCGGACTCTGGGGAAAAGCATGACTGATTATACAGAGCTTTTATATTGAAGGGCCTACAAAAATAAAATAATGGAAAGCTTTCAATGAAATGAGGGGTCCCATTTAATGGTAAATGGATTGGAGCATAGCACTTTTCTAGTCTTCTGACTACTCAAAGCGCTTTTACACTGCAGGTCACACCTACCCATTCACACACTGATGGCAGAGGTTGTTGTGTTAAGTGACCATCAGAAGTAACTAATCCCATTCATATATGCTGCTGATGAAGCAGTAGGAGCAATTTAGTGCTCATCAGACATGTTGCTGCAGGAGCTGGGGATCAAACCCTCAACCCTTCGGTTGAGAGACAATGACTCCGCCAACTAAGCCACAGCCACCCAATTAAGACTGCCTATCTATGGTGCCCAAACTGATTCAATGCCCCTAGGCTTCTGGTGAATTAGAGTGAAATAACATTAGGTGAGTAAATCTTTTTTTTTTTTTTAACTCAGCAAGAAAATCATTTGTTGCCCCCCAAAAAAATCTTCCTATGATTACCCCTTCTGCAAGCCATCAAACTATGTGTTTGCAGTTGTTTAATTTGGGAGAACTTATAATGTACCTTATAGGGTACATGTCTTTGATATTTTCATTGTAACTCAGGATGTAAAACTTAAAATCAATTGTGATTGAATAATCAATCATGTTGGACTATCTGAAGCTGCTGATAATCTTCACACATCACCTTTAAATGTTTCTGTTTGACTGTGCTTCTGGACTGTATTCATCTTGTCATTGCACTATATTGCTTCAAAGTCTAAAACCACAGCTCCAGCAAAACATATCAAACAGAAAATGAATCCACTATGTGCTTTGTGTCCCTGCTCTGAAACACAGACAGCTGGACACAATCAAAGAATACAATAATTCCCTTATTTGATTTGAGGCAGAAAAGAAAGAAGTGAAAAAGCATGGGGACAACAGGAAACTATACTGTGCAGAGTGTCAGTCGATATCCTCAGCCAGTAATTACAACAGAGATAGAAACCGGCCCTGTGAGGCTGTGATGAAAACAGAATCCTGTGCTTATTCTAAACGTCTTTGCACTTTTTTTTTTCATCAATAAAACAATAAGAAATATGAGGGTGGACATGATCGATAAGATAGAAGATTTATTACCAGGATACAGCTTATATTTCAACATTTCTTTTAAAATGATTGCCCATACGAAGTCTCCTAATATACCCTGCATTTCTTTCTGCTCATGTCCTTCTTTTCTGTTGTAATCTATCAGCTAGGAGAAACTACCACTTAGGAGAAATGAGGGAAAGCTTTAAGGGTACCCTGAGGAAACGGTAGACTTTTAGTTAATTCTTAGTGGCACCATCGCTTTGCCAGTTCAGTTTAACTTCTACTACTGTGGCCTACAGCTGTTCGTCTGTGGTGGCTTCCAGCTAATAGGCTTGACCTACCTGAGGGTTGGCGCTGGCTGTGATGTAGATCAGCCAGTCAGAAAATGGATGAAGGGGGATCTTGGTAGAACTCCATCAAAGATCTCAGCAGTCCCTCATATCAAAGTCATTACAGTCAGTGGTGACATCTTTGTTGATTTGTTTACATATGACAACTGCTTTCAACAGGGAGGCGCCTCTGTATGTACCCTGCATCAACATCCCTCCTGGGTGATCTGATTACAAGTGGATAGTGTGGGAATACACCCCAAAGCACCCTGAGGACGGCTCGAGATCTGGTAGCTCGGACCACGAATACGGAGATGGTCTTGCATGCATCCATCCGGATTTCTTGCATCCTAGGCAGCAGTAAGGACCAACCCCTCAATTGGAGGGTGTAAACGATGACTGTTTACTTCAGCAACTTACTTCAACAACTTTTTATCAGTCAGTCCAACCACTCAAACCATTCAGAGCATCCCTCCTGAGAACATTTAGACTGAGTTGGCAGGAAAAGAAGCAGCAGCATTTTTTCTGCAGTTTACATCCAAACATCCGTCTGTCTATTTTTTTGCTTTTAGCTCCTTATCTGTGTCAGGGTCACAACCGGCAACAAGCAGCAGAGCCAAGATGTTCTGTTTCAGGAAATCTGAAGAGAACTGAGGCTCAGGCCATAATGAGTCCAGCCAGTGTGGTGCTTCCTGGTGGGCTGTGCTAATAAGGATGTCTATGGTAGGGATCTTTTCTCACAGCCTCACATAACCCTAGCAGCAGTGACTTGACTTTTGGATGTATGAACTCCTCCATTTGAAGAGCTGACACTTCTCCTCTTTAATTGGGCCAGTGATTCTGGTAAAGAACTCTCACATCATCACAAGCGCATGTTCAGCTACAAACCCTTCAGATGCATCCGCAGTCGCAGACGCACGTAAATGTCACCGAAGTAAACAGTGTCTGGGCCCCAGCTGCAGCCTGATCACGGTCTGATTCAGGTGTTTGACATCTATAAAAAGAACAAGCTGGGTTAGAGATGCACAAATACAAAACAGCTCTGACTCTGAGTGTTGGATTAAAGACATTAAAATAGTATCATTCTAACTTTATTTTGTGGAAAACAAGTAAAATGTCATGTAATGTAATGTAATGTAATTCATTAAAAATTTAAAGTTGACAGTGGTCAATGATTATTTCAATTCTCCTAAATTTTAACTCCCAGTTGTGTCCACTTCAGATTTATTGTGGATAGAGTGAACGTCACATCATATTTTATGACATAAAGACAAAAAATTTTACCCTAAAGGCGCTGAGATGGCTGTCAAAAATGTCATAGTTACATTGAATGAGATATGGCAGGAGATGACAACTGTGACCTTTTGAAAGATGCTAATAATAGCATATTGATCTCAACCTGATTAACTGGAATGGTTGAGAGTGAAATCATATTTAGCATAATTTGAAATACCATCTTTTATTTTTTTTAACTGTAAAACACTGCAGTAAACATTTGCAGAGGTCAGCATTTTGCCTACAAAGTCACTCGTCAGGTGCTTTACTGTACCATTAGCTGCGGTGGCCCTGATGGGAATAAAGCCTTTTACTTCGCAATGTTCCTTCTCCCAAAGTAACCAGATAGTTTTTACTTTTGCACCTCGTCTAAAAATACAGGCCGCAGGAACACCTGGGGGAGGACTGAAAGGACTCAGGGTTGTCTCAGACATATGAACATGTTCTCCTCAAGCCTTGGCCACTTAAAGTCAAAGTGACAATTTTCAGCTATACCAAATAAGTCAGAAAGATGAAACAGCATCATTTAAGATGTCATGTTTGATATTTTGACGAGCTTCTTTCCCAGCTGACATCATTTGAACAATTTCTTGTGTTTGTTCTCCGTCAAAGAAATGAAGCAGTGAACCAGAGCATTGGGCAGAACATAATGGATGAGTGCATAAAAGGTTCAAAAACCCTCCAGTGCAGACAAATCACAGAGGAGAACAACAACCAACCAGCCACCATAGACTGGACTTGGAGGGAGAGAGAGAGAGCGATAGGGAGAGAGAGTGATAGAGAGAGAGAGAGAGAGAGAGAGAGAGAGAGAGAGAGCGAGAGAGAGATGTGGTGAAGCAAGTGTTTGTCGTCGAACTCCAGCAAATATGAGGATGGGAAGATAATGGCCCAGACTTAACAGGATGACTGAATTATGAATTTTTGTCCTTTTATGATGCATTGTGGGAAAACAAATACCGAGGAGGACACCCTGGACAGCAAAGAACAAAGGATCGCATGTGGTTTTTGGACATGTCCAACCATTCCTCACACATCCTGATCTATTGAGGAGGAATGGTTATTGAGTCTTTTCTTCTAATCTACGTAAATCACTGGATCCAACATCTCCATGGAGGAATTATACGAGACTTCTACTGTGTGTGCGCGCGCGCAGGGATGCCCTAGCTCCACATGAGCCGTGATAGATTGGAGTACTTTTATGGAAATTGCTTGGAAATTTCAGCTCAGCTGAAAGAAATCCGGGCAGCAATAATCCAACAGCAACACACACACACATAGAAGTCAGTGCCGGCGATCTGTGTGTCTCTGCAATAAGTGGCTGATAAAACGCAATAAATTCTCTAAAATAAATACAGTCATCCGGTTGTGCGCTATGGGCGACGAGGCGTCAAACTTCAGGGGCAGCAGCAGGACCGGTGTCTCATCACCAAAAGCAAGGACTGGTGAGGATCACGGCAAAGCGGAGAATCTGGGCTAAACTAAATCTATTCTCTACAGAAAACAATGAGATTTACGATTTTTGGATAACTTATTAGATGATCACTGTGACAGTTTTTGATGTTATTCAGAAAACATAATTCAGATCTGCGCTGTGCTGGACTTGGTCACTTTGATTTGTTCTCTCGGAGATCAAGTGGCAGAGTGGGACATGAGACGTTGTGTGCTTAAAATAAACGAATACAGCCATAGCATTTAATCAATAAGTTTAAAGAGGACTCCTGATTTTTTTATATTATTATTTTTGCACTATGATGGAACCACCACCATGCTCGAAGAAGAGCCTGTCCCTGTCGCTCCCGGTTCCCCGGGAAGGGCAGGCGACTCTCAAGCCTCCGCAGCATCTTTGGAGGCAACCCCGGACCCCGATCAAAATCAAACACAGGGGCTACTCCGACACCGACCGGCATCACCACCGGCACATGGAGCGCTCCGACGCCGTGGATACGAGCGACCGACCAGGGTTGAAAAAGTCTCGGATGTCTTGGCCATCATCCTTTCACGGGACTACAAACACATCCATTGGAAATTGTGTCGGCAATAAACGGTAGGCGAGAGAGCCGTATGCAATCCAAACATCCCAATAATAGCCCATGACAGCCCACAAGGCATATGCGTAAACGGGGAGGGAGGAGGGGGTGCATTTTAATGAGTGCGTAATAACGCAGTGTGCCTGAAGGGTTAACTGAAATGAAACGCTTTCTACCGGGAGGCGGGACGCGTGGGTTTTCGGTGCTGATGCGTTATGCGTCTTTGGATAGACTGTGTCAGATGGGTATGAAGCGCAAACCAGTCCGCCTACTCGAAACGCAGGAGCAGCATCTGCAAACACCAGTAACATTTTACAGAGCGTCCACATGTTCCACGTAGTTGATAAGAGGCATGAGGCGCAGTGGTTTTAATGGCACCAAAGGTCTATTGGGTGCATTCGAGTGTGAAGCACTGAGATATTGCCATCAATGCGCACGCAGGCTTTTATCAGCTTGTTTGCAGAGGGAGGCTTGGACACAATTGGCTGAGGACCAAATATTCAAGCTCCCTGTTTATTAGAAGGCACCCCTCTTATAGCGTGTTGTGTCAACCTCTGACCCCCTGTATAATGACAGGTTGAAAATACACTCTATATAAGGTACAAATAAAAAGTGACAAAGTTATGAGGTGTTACAGGCCTGTCACACAGATGGTTTCAGATGGCCTCTTATTGGCACACCAGGTTGCTCACTGATCAGATATGAGAGTAAAAAAAAAATCAGTGCATTAGAAAGAGGACACTGACTGACACTGGAGACCAACAGGGCAGATTTTATGATGCTTAAACTCTACCAGCTAACAACTCTTCCAGCCCTTTAATTAAATTACACCATGCATGTTAATCATGCAGATTAGATTAAAGGCATCTTATTAAGTGAGTCATGGAACGATACAATTTTGATATAATTAGTCTGTCCTTACTCAACAATGGCTCCATTTATCTTCTTGAGGAGACACTGTAAATGCCACACCTGGTTGTTTTTACCTTGAAACACAGAACAGAACATCTTTGAAAGAACATCATAAAATTCAAAGTACAGACCGGGTTCAGCTTGGTTGATGTTTGTCAAAAGATGTCTGCCTACAAGTCAAGGCTGTAAATGCTGGTTTTCCAGGTGACTCCCTCTTCCACTCTGTCCTTTGTGTAACCCAGAATCCCCCCCCCCCCCATGTTCCTGAAAGTAAGAGTTGGCTTACATTCTAGTCTGTTTCTTTCTCCCTCCTTAATGTCCCTCACCTCCTTTCAGCCACATATAAAGCCTTAATGTGCTTCTTCCACAAGAACAACACATTAAACTGGGTGATGATTACACTAATAACATTGCTGAGAGTGCTTTGGGTCTCGCGGGAACTGGTGGGATCCATTTCTTTTTCTTACTGCTGTTATTATTTTCATTTTTTTCTCTCTAGCATTTTTTTAAATGCCACAGACGGCCTTCCCGGCAGGCCCCTGGGAGAAGGGCCAACTCCAGCTGACTGGAGGAAGGGCTGATTTGTATTTTAGTCCTCCGGACACGCTCTGAAGCAGTCCAATCTTTAGTGCATTGGGACTGACTCTGCCTGCCCTTCTCCTTCTGTGGGCGGCAAACCATGAGAGGGCAGAGAGAGAAAGTAAGAGAGAGAGATAATTTGATTCTGACAAGCTCAGTTCTGAGAGCAAACCAAGCTGGCTCAAACTATGTGTGTGTAAGTGTTTGTGTGTGTTTGTGTGTGTGCCTTCACAAATCCATGAGGTGAGCTGTACAATCTGGGGGTGTTTCTACTACACACTGGTTAAGAAGGAGGGTGTTAGGAGGAATAGAGGCTGGTGGAGAAACAGGTGTGTCATTTTTAATGGTGGAATGTGGCCGGTTGTGTCATGGTGAGTGTGTCTGTGTGTTTGGAGTTATTTATGAGTGGGCTGTACACAGGTTAGAGTCTGACCTGGAGCCATTATGGATTGCAATAGGCCTCATTTTAACGGTCTTCATATCAAAGGAGTGCCAGGGGAATTTATTTTTACATATGTACATTGTATTCAGCCTCTTTAATGAATCTTGATGGAGGGATCTTCTCATTGGATGCTTCGTCTCTCCTTTGGATTTATCAGGCTTTTATGAGCATCCATGTCGATCAAGCAGCTCTGTGTTTATTAGCTTAGGGCTAACTAGCATTGAGTTCCAACCTAAGAAGGCAGCTACACGCACATCTCCTCTCACTACTTATCTGAAGGCCCTTTTTTAACATGCACTGAACGTCTGGGAATAGTACATCCCCAAACCCTGAAAAATAGTAAATGACAGGCGTTAACTAGAACTTGCCCTAAAGACCCTGCTTTTATTGACCATGTTCCCCGGGTCCATGTTATAAACCTTGGTCTATAAAAATGGACAACACATTTCTACCTTTTGCTGTTGTACAAAGGTGAAGCCAAAAACAATTCCAGTGACAATTAGGGATAACTGGTGGAGCCACGGCATTGATGTCACACTGTTTCTGTTAACCAAAAAGACAAATTAAATCACTGTTTAATCTTTAAAGATCCACCATGTTGATACAACCCACAGCAGAAAAGAGTCTTGAAGATTTAAAGCAGCAACGTGATTAAAGAAAGTCCAATGACTCTTATGTCAGTGTTCATTACGTTTCCTCTCACAGTCCTCATTTACTCTGCTGATCCGGGGCACCACAGCACTACAGCATCAGCATTTGTCTAAAGAGCTGTAAATCATGGCAGTTTACAACTTTTTGTATTATCAAAGAACAAATCAAAAAGCAACTTGTTAGGAAGAAGAGGACTTGAACAATAATGGTGAATGGAATTCAGATTAGGTTGTGCACCATGTACAGAGACTATAGTCATCTAAGCCGGCATCCTGAGTTCAGGTCAGACCTGCGACTCCTTTCCTGCATGTCATTTCCCACTCTCACTCCTGATTCCCTACTCTATCCATATTTAGTCTATGAATTAACTCAGTTAAACCTGTCTTTAATTTGATGATGATGTGATTGTCAGAGTTGGGCCAAGTAGGGCTGGAAATCTTTCTGAACAGGAGGAAAGCCTGATGTGAAAACATTAGCAGGCTTATTCATCCGATTCTCAGGCTTACAGTGAGCACTTAACTGCTGCTGACATTCTGTGATATAGACAATAGTGTGAAATCCGGCCACATTTTTTAAATAATTATTATTTTTTTATCACGCTGACAATTACTGTAAGTTTATTCACCAGGGGGATATTAATTGACATTGTTGTTAGACAGCTGAAAAGTAATTGGTCTATGATTGGTTGGGCACTGATCGAGCCAGCAGATGACCTCCATGTCTCAAGGAAGAAAAGCGGTTCACTCACTGAAGACTCAACCAAGACCTCATCTCGAGGTTCGAAAGATCAATCAGAATGAGAGAGGCTGGTGATATTGTTTCAGACAAGATTCAGAGAAGACGTGGCTTGTACGTTGTTCCTGTAATTGATTCCCTGGCTTTTGAAAATGAAGCACTCCCCTCAGTCTCCAGTTAAGGGATGGATAGCATACAAGAGGGATTCTGGGTGTTGTCTCTCATAATTGTTTGAATAATCATTGTCTGTGACAATGATAAGACTATCCCACAAAATGTCAGTCTTAGTGGCAATCAGCTTCCCCTTAGAGTGTCAGTCTGCCTCCTCTTCCCGCCCCTGGTGTCTTTTGTCAGAGGATGCTAATACTGAGTATATCAGTCATCAGGTCCCATGCTCAATACGCTCTGGGAAGTTCCAACACGAAAATGAATGACTGACACTGAGCGGCTCTTCCCGCAACTCTGTTGCTATGGTTACTTGTTTAGTACATTTGTAGAATAGATTTCATTTACCCAAAAAAGGCAGAGCCCACAGGCACTTGATGGGCTTGACTTTATAATGTGTCAGTATGTAGCAGATCCCACTGGATATGCATCATGACTTGTATGTTTATAGGAGAGAAAAGAGAATATTAATACACCTCTGCTGAAGAAGCGCAGTCTGCCAACAGTTTAATCACAGTCCTCTGTAACAATTTCAAACCAAAGCCTCCCACCCTCTCTTTCTCACCTATCACTTCATGCATTCTTTACACATTTTTTCCCCAAGCTGGGATCCAGGGTGGATTTGTAAGCTGCTGCTGCTCTTTTGCCTGCCTGACTGGCCGGCTGCCATAATAATTTAGTTCCTAATGAGGTACAGCTCCAGTTAATTACAACAACAGCTGTATTTTGTTGTTGATCATACATTTCTAAACTCTGGATGTGAAAAAAGTATCATGCAGAGTGCATTCAGGAATTATCCCAACAAATGTGTTTTAATAGCGTTAAGTAATAGACCTCTTATCTCATTTGTGTAGTGGAACCATCCGTTTAAGCTGGGATTGCGCTCTTCTGTGAATACATTTCGCTCTCTCTCCACTCTCGGCACTAATTAGTATCTGGAGGCAGTTCATGTACTGGAACGGCGCTCGCTGTTGGTTGGCTCAGGCGGCTCCAAGAGACCTCAGGTAAAATCCCTGCGAGATCTTTTAGCAATGACACCAAACGGGTTGTGTGTTCACAAGGAATCTATAAAGCTCACATTCAAGGACCCTCTTTATGTTTATTCTCTCGTCATCACTTTGTCTCCTTGGGGGCTCCTCATGCTCTCAGGCCACGGGTAACCACATTTGGCACAGTAGGTTTACTTCATGGATCAGCTGGAAAACTTGGCCTCCTTGCATTATAATTAGTTTCACACTGAATCCTCCTAAAATGGCGAAACACTCGTCATTTGTTTTTTTGTTTTCTGACAAGTGTGAATGGGCAGGGATCCCAGCTGGAGGAAACAAAATGAGCCATGGCATCAAAAAAATCCAAACTACACAACAGTTCCACCTGTTACCCACAAATATCTCCTCGTATGCAACTAGTCTGCTTACATTTAAAAAATATATATTTTCCCATAATTTTCATTTTATTCTTTTCATCCCTGCTAAATCGCTGCCGGGGGACTTTCTGCCACTTACTACTCATCAGTTGCACAGCCTCTTTCAA